GGCAAAAGTTAGAGCGCAAAAAGAGAGTGTTAATACCCGAGTGAACCCGAACCGAACTACGTAAGGCTTGATTCCCATCTTCGGGATACGTAGGCAACTTCATTCTGAGGTCCAGCCATAAACACTTCCAAATCAACTGTGTCCATGAGATTATTCGGGTCATCTTTGTCTTTTCTGTATCCAAGAATTCAGTTGTGATCTTCACTATGAGAGCTGGTTACAGTACAGTGCAGTGCTATTCAGACAAGGGTCAATTTTCCAGTTATTAGATTCGGGGTTGTACATCTCGAGCGCAGATTCCATGTGTGTCAAGTTGTGATCCTTATTGAAAATGGTTTTGAAAACTTTTAATAAAAGTTGATTTTGTTCAAATTATTCTTTTTACAATTAGACATTTTTTGGACCAAAAAGAAAATTTTCAATGCCCACAACTTTAATTCCATTGATTTCAATTCAGAGTTCTCTAACTCACGATACAAATCAAAGTTGCTTTTATTGCATTCAAAAGGAAAACTTGAAAGTTAGATCAAACAATAAATTTGGGGCATAGATGAGTCAGGTGTTCCTACATCCCCTCCTAGAGCTTGTGAAAGCTTCAGATGCTAAAGTAGGCCCGGTTTGCGCCTCTTCTTCAAGCCAAGCTATGCATTCGCCAAAAAGAGTGCAACTGAAATTGGGAGCAGGAGCCAGAAGTTCTTTTGTCCACCATGCAGTGGGATATCGAGCTAGTTGTGCACCTCAGATTGGAATCTACCCCCTCTTCTAGGCAAATCTAGTCGTGTCTGAACTAACACCTAAACCGGAATGGAAAGTAGAAGGCACAGTGTGTCAAGCCAATCAGCTGAACACCGAGTTGCCAAGCCATGATGTAGCTCATCTCGAGCAGATCAAACCAGGGGCAACGCCAAGCAATGTCAGTAGTTGACCTATTGCACATCCAGTGTTCAACCTGTCCATGAGCCATATCTGGGAAGGGATGAAAAATAAGAGAGATTAAAGAATAGAGAGGTGTATGCAGAGAGAAAAAGTGAGAAAGTGTGTTGAGAGAAAAACAAAGCCTGAGTGTCGAGTGATGTGAGAAATACATGTGAGAAGGGTGGGGAACATTACCTGCAAGAGTAGTGGACTTCTTACGAACTTGGTTGTCTCTCGGCAATGGAAAGCATCCAAACCCATCAAAGTCTCAGCTAATGTCAAGTCAATGCAGCTCTTGCCCTCTTTCAAGCCTTGGGCAACTTCGATCAAGTGAATGCTAGACCCTCCAAAGCCAGGGGCAAGTAGGAAATAAGCCAACATACACAAGCAGAGAGCATGCTACCGAAAACCTTGGCAAAGATGGTCGCTGCGGTCACCGGCGTCAAAAAATCGATGAATCAAGCTGGGAATATCCAACTCCCTATTGTGAATCAGAGATCGGGCATTGTGTGAAGTGAACCCGCACATCCTTCCTAAAGCCTGGATATGGCTAAAATGCGACTAAGGCAAGATTTCCTCGTCATGCCGGGATTCCGTCAAAGCTCGGAACTTTTCGATTGTGGGGCACATCTCTTGCCCCCCAAAGTTGAAAACATGTGTAATCGGATTCCAACATCTAGCTGTGGCATGGAGGAACGGAAAACATAGTGGGGTACGACTTAGCGGGAATAGTGCATTTATCCTGAAATCCCGAAAATTCACTTTTTCCGAGCCATCTAAAGTTGCAATCCATGTTAAGAGTTTTTCAGTGAAGAATGACTCCATTTGTGGCAAAAACAGAGCTGGAATGAAGAAACTACGAAGTCCTAAACTTTTGTAGAAGATAAGGCGTTGAGTGGAAGACAAGTGGTAACAATCTGACGGCCCCCTACACTAATGGCCGACCAGCTAGTGTTGGTGGCCGACCGGCCACTATTGGTGGCCGATAGCCACCACTGGTGGCCGACAGCCTCTGTTTATGGCCGGTAGAATTCCTTTGGTTTTCTTGTGTGTTGAGAGTGCTGAGAATCTGTGTTTTGTTCTGCTCTTGATGCATTATGCTGTTTTATTTTAGTAGCTTTATTGAGTGGCTTGTAAATTGTTTCAATTTGTTTATCGAGTTGTTTCACTTTGTTTATCGAGTTGTTGTGTTGCTTATCGAGTTGTATTTGTCTTGTTTATTGAGTTGTTGCATTGTTCGTCGAGTTATTTTACCCTATTTGTTAGGTGTTGGTCGGTTCATTATCTGATTAAGTAATGTTAATACAATGTATGGTGTTCATTTTCCATCAATCTTGTTTTTACGCTATGTGGTGCAATGCGATGCTCAGAATGCAAAATACAACACTTTTTCATACAAAAAATTGGTTTTCATTCTGATCATGGTTTCTTTTTACAAAAGAGTACAAGTTTTTAAAGAAAATAAAACTGTCTAAGCTGTACGATGTGCCAACACTACTAGCAAAAAGAAACTAAGCAAAAACATATGAATCAGCGCTAGCTAGCTCAAGCTCTAGAGGCCCTCTTCGTCCTTTTCCTCGGCGGAGTGGACTCTGCAGAGCTGTCTCCATCTGCACCGCTATCTAAACCTGATGCTGAATCAGAACCGAAACCGGAGTCGTTGTCTCCCTCTACATCAGAGCCTGGTAGGAATGGCAACGGGCCGGGCTGGGGCCGGGGATGACACTCCCCGTCCCCAATCCCCGAAGATAAGAAAACCCCCGTCCTCGCCCCCGATCCCCGGTGGGGACGCCACCACCTTCCCTATCCCCGCCCCCTAAAAGGGATCGGGTTTCCCTGACCCCGAAAAAACCCCGACTTTTTTTTAAAAATTTTATTCAACACAAGAACAAAAAAAAAAAAAAAAAAAAAAACTATTTTTTGTATGTTTCAATTCATTATCAACAATCATCAACTTTAAAAAAAAAAAAAAAATCTGAGAAAGGAAAAAAATCATCAATAACAATCATCAACAATAGATCTGAAAAAATTATCAACAAATTTGAAAAAATATCAACAAACAACAGTCATGGATTCTCTCTCTAAAACTCAATTTTGATTTGGATCTAGATCTCACAGTCGGTGACGGAGGAGGCGACAGAGGAGGCGACGAAGGAGGCTATGGAGCGGAGGATCGGTGACGGAAGAGGCCATGGAGGATCGGCAACAGAGGAAGCAATGGAGGATCGTGAGAGAGTTGAGAGAGAGAGTGAGATAGTGAGAGCGTTGAGAGAGAGCTCAAAGAGAGTTCAGTGAGAGAGTTGAGAGAGGGAGAGTGGAGAGTCAGAGAGTGAAAGAGAGAGATCTGAGAATCTGAGATATAGCCTAACCTAAACATATATATATATAATATAATAAAGCCTAGCCTAACCTATAGCCAATATAATAAAGATAACCTAACCTAAACGTATATATATAATATAATAAAGCCTAGCCTAACCTAAACATATATATATATATAATATAATAAAGCCTAACATATATATATCTATGTAATAAATACTATTCGGGAATGCTCGGGGCCGGGCTGGGTTCGGGTCTAGAGAAGCTATCACTGTCCCTGGCTTGAAAATTATCGGGGATTAATTTTTAATACCATCTCGGGCCCTATGGAGATAATTTTCGGGGAAAACTCGTCTTAATCGGGGTCAGGGGATCGGGTCCCCATTGGGCTGGGTTTAAATTGCCATCCCTGGAGCCTGGCTCAGCCTCATCTCCACTAGTGGAATCCGAGCTAGCATTATCGTCTACCCTCTCGGATGACTCGGCATGCTGACCTACAGCTTCCTCGGTCTCACTGGTCTCATCATCATGGGGCATGATAGGCTCACGATGTCTTCCTCGGCCGCATGCTGGAGCCTGTCTCTCTCTCCTTGCTGCTGGAGGGGGTGCTGATGGTCCTCCTGCTGCTGCTGCTGCTGCCGCCGCCGATGCTGTCGGTAGATATGGGACCTGAAAAGGCAATTAGTATATATCAGGCTTAGTATGTGTACCAGATGCAAGTGTGGTGTGCGGAATGAGTACATGCAGAAGTCAGATACGGTGTGTGAATGCAATGTGTCGGATGTGATCTATACATGCAGTGTATCAGTGCAGTGTGAGGAAGTGTTCAGTTGAAGTGTCAGTTCAGTATGTTAGCAGAAATGTGGTGCGTGAAATGCAAGAAAATTAAAAAATTACATGGATGCCGTGTAAGTCGAGCAGTGCCTCCTTCCTCAAGATCATGCCCTCGAATGAGGCCAACATCTCGAACAATCCCTCGACGTACCCTGCGGGGGCTTGCAAATGCAATTTAGAATGATCAGTGTCCAAAAGGAATGAATGTCTGAGTATCTGAGCAAGAATGGAAAAAATGAAAACTGTAGTACATACCGAAGGCGAATTAGGTGTCCTGACATATCTGTGACTAGCCAACGGAGGGTCAATCAGAATCTGGTAAGTCTCTCTGGAGTATTGCCAACCTGTCAACTCAGTTGAAAGCTCTGGCCAGCCAAAACTCTGCCTAGCGGGGGGCATCCCTCTAGCCCTGCCCCTCGGTGTTCGGGCCTTGCTCGTTGAAGGGGTATCAGCTACTCTCTCGGTACGAGCATGAATACCCGTCAAAGGAGGCATGAGATGCTTCAGGATGTATGTCACATAGTCCCCCTCTCCCAGAAAGTAGTCGGACTCCGCGCCTCGTGTAAAATCGATCACCTCCTGGGAGGAGAGACTCTCTGTGGCCTGCATGGATGGCGGGGGTGGCATGTGAACTGTCTGTAGTGGCAAACCCAAAGTCTGGCGCAGGAAGCGCTCGCCTAAGAACTAGGCTCGACCTACCGGTCCCTCAAGCATGAGCCGGTAACGAGAAGCGGCCCAAGCGCTTGCGAACTGATATCTGACACCCTTTGGCATCGTCACCCAGGGCTGCCATGAGATCTGCAGATAGCAAATGCACAGATTGTTAGTTGCCATTAGATATGCAATATGAATCGGAGCTGAAAGTAGAAAGAACTATGAGTTTTGGGTTACCTCTGCTGCCCTCATTGTGTCAAAATATCGATGGAAGAATGAAAGAGTCTCTTAGGTCCTCCATTGGCATCTCCCGTCATACCGATGAGAGTATGGCACGCCAGGAGGCATCTCGACTTTTGGCTCTGGGGCAAGTGTCAGAAAATATGCGTATACCCATAGCTGCAAAAAGCAAGGGCGATAGTGAGCATACAACTGATAAACACAGGTAATGCGAAAAGCAAAATATGTGTGCAATGTCCAAAAAATGCAGAATGCAGAGAATACAGAATACAGAGAAAATGTAGAAAGCAGGATGTGCAGTACAACGTACAAAAGGTACAAGTGCAAAGTAGAAATCAGACTATGTGTGTGTAGTGTACAGAAAGTGCAAAGCAGAAAGCATTGTAGGGAATGTAAAGTAGAAAAGTAAAGCATACCTCCCAGGCTCTCTAGTAGCCGCCGACTCTGTTCCCGCTCTTGCGGGATTTCGAGCCCATGTAGCAGTACAAAGTAGCGAGGCTAGCGTCGCCCCAGTCGTGATGCCGAACTTGAGACAAGTCCACCAAGGCACTCAAGAGATATAGCCCGACAGTGTTCGCCCTGTCGGCGAACAAGGTGGTACTAAAGAGGAACATCAAGAAGCCTCGGGCATACTGCTCGATCTCCTCCAGGATCTCTAGGGTTGTCGCTCTGAAGTGATCTACAAACCAGCTATATCGAACTGTCCCAGATCGAAAGAGAGGTGGGCGAGCCCCCAGCAGGTAGATCCAAGCGGCCTCCTACTCTCCTATGTCTGTATTATATGGGATAGGCCGATCTCCTACCTCAATGCCGGTGAGCATAGCAAAGTCGTACGGGGTCATCGTCATGTCTTCTACGGTAGAGAAGTGGAAGGAGTTGGTGGTGTCCCACCACCTCTCTACCAGTGCGCCAAGTAGGGACCTACTCGCTATGAGACGCAACAGCCCCATGTAAAATAAGCTAAACCCTGCCTCGTCGACGATCTGGCAGACACCAACGGGGAGGTCCATATACCACTCTCTCGCAGATGTGGTCCCATATCCTCGGGTAAAACGAGAGTCCCCCTGTAATCAGAATAAGCAGATGAAAGGCAGTGTAAGAAATACAATGCATGAAAGTGTTTGGGATGAGCAGATGAAAAGCAGTGTAAAAAATACAGTGCATAGATGTGTTTGGAATGAGCAGATGAAAGACATTGTAAGCTATGTAGGAAACGCAAAGTACATTGCAGAAAATGTAAGAAAACAGTAGGTACCTCAGTGGCGCCGTAGGATAAATGAGACTCCGGCTCTCATAGTAAGAGATCCTTAGGCACACCTCGTGCAAATCTCCTGAAATGACGGACTGTATCCGGCGGTAGTACATGCACCTCGGGGCGATATGTCTCCGGATCGAAGGGTCGGACCGTGGGTGGTAATGGTATATGCTCGAGATCTCCCTCCATCCCTGGAGGACCTCCATCATGAGGAATGTCGTCTGCCATCTGAAAATAAGGTTAGAAAGTGGGCGAAAATGAGCAAAATAGGTGGAAAATGCCAAAAGTCAACAAAAGTCAACTCTTAGAGAGAGAAAATGGGGGAAAAAATCAAAGCCCGGGAAAAGGCACGGAACTTGAGAGTAACTCGAGGAAAACAAACCTCAAGTGGCGAAAATGGAGAAAAAAGCACCGAAAACAAATTCCAATCGGTTCAAAATGGAGGACATCAAGAGGTTTTAGCGAATCAACTTTGCATGGGGCGTTGGAAAATGCGTATAAAGCTCCGATCTAGGGGGGAAAAGTATCTAGGGTGAGAAAGGAAGGATTTTCGGCTATGGAGGTATGAGGAAATGAAGTTTGGGTGTGTTTACTTAAAGGCTCGAGGAGAAAAGACCAAAATGGCCTCAAATTGCCATCGGTGGCCGATGGCCACCATTTGTGGCTGACAGCATCCATTTGTGGCCGACGTGTGGTCAACACTTCTCCAGGGTGGCCGACAAGCTTCCAGTGTTCTCCTTGTGTGTTTTGATGCTGTTTCGTGTCCTTGGTTCTCAAGAAAGTGCAAAAAAAGTTCACTTTTCAGCTCAAAGTGTCTCTGCAGAAGTTTCAAACCATGTCTTCGGTGCATGACTCATCACTAGTCCACATGAACGGGGTGTATCCTTTTGAAATATATCGTAACTCCTCTCAGAGGTAAATCAGAGGTTGCGACTGAGTCGGTTTTATTACACACGCTTTTTTTCATTGCATAAAACGTGCATTTCTTTATTTGGTGTTTTGCGTCGAGCATGTTGTTAATCTTGCATTGAACATGCATTTTCTACAATTGGTCATTGCATGCACCCTATCCTATTGCATAGAATATGCATTTCTCTGTCTCTTGGATAGAACATGCTTTTGTTATTACTACATAGAACATGCTTTGCTAATCTTGCATAGCACATGCACTCTTACTGTGTTATACTTGTTAAGTTTCTTTCTTATGCAGGCACGATATTATATGTACGGTTCATTCAGAGGAGTTCCAGGTAGAATCATTCTTGTCCTTCGAATTACTTGCTTTGTTTAGAAGCATTCGGACATGTCCCGATGTTTACACCACTCCTTTTCGGTTAGAAGCATTAGGGTGTGTCCCGGTGTTTTCGTTCCCTCTTTCTCCTCTCGCATGTGGTGCGTTAGGATGCTTTCGGTTAAAAGCGTTGGGGTGCGTCCCAGTGTTCTCGTTCCCTCTTTCTCCTCTCGCTTGTGGTGCATTGGATGCTTTTGGTTAGAGACATTTGGGTGCGTCCCGGTGTTCTCGTTACCCTTTTCTTCCTTCACGTGTGGCACGTTAGGACACTTTCGATTAGAAACATTCGGGTACACCCGGTGTTTACACCCACTCTCTTCTCCTCTCGCATGTGGCGCGTTAGGACGCTTTGGTTAAGTGCATTTGGACGAATTCCGATGCTTATACCACTCCTTGTTTTGGTTACAAATATTTGGACGTGTTCCGATATTTATCATCGCTCCGGTTAGGAACATTCAGGTGTGTCCCTGTGTTCACACCATATCTTTCATCGCATGTGCAACGCGTTAGGATCTTGTTTGACACCTCGGGTGCGCCCGATAGTTGTGTTGTTCTTTGTCTTTCTTGCGTGATGCGTTGTTAAGATTGCATAATTTTCTTACATCCTTTTTGCATGAAATGTGGTTTGGCTTGTGATTCTCATGCTTGGCGTGTTTACTTACTTCTGTTTATGTTTGAGATTGTTGTACCTTACGTTGGTTTGATTGCTATAGCATTTCTTTGGATAACACTTGCATCTAGATGTTTCATTACAGCCTCATTGCATGATCATAAGTTATGTTCTTGCATCGTGCATGTCATTTTGCATCTTGCCCCAGAACTACGCTGGTTTGATTCCTTGTAAAGGGATACGTAGGTAGCCTGCGGGCGCAACCGTTCTTTGTTTTGCTTGTTTGTTTGTCCAAGTCTTCGGCCTCGTAAAAAATGGGTCATCTCTGGGCTTTGACATTCACTCCCGTCATTTCATGAATTTCGAGTTCTGTCAAAGAAGGGCAACTGTAGACACCCCATTTTTGACCATCCTTAAGACTTGGACATCATCGTTTGTGCACTCGTTGATTGTGCTTGTTTGTGTTCGTTTTGAGCACCCGAAGTCTTCAGCGGAACGCCTTGTCTTTAAGCCTCTAAACCTTGCCTATTTTGTGCTTGTTTTTGGACTAAGAGCTTATTGCCTCTTGCCTGGAGAGGAGGGTGGCTTGTCGGCCAGCCCTAGACCTTGTCGGCTGCAAGTTGTGCCTGTCGGCCACCAGTGGTGGCCGACGGCCATTTGTCTATTTTTTTAGATATTTGTTTGCCAGCTGTGCCAACTGTTGCTCACTGAATTGCATCTCCATACACGTGTATGAAGGGATGAATTCAAGTCCAAACGTTGATTTTCTATATATATGGGGGTTCCTCCCCATTTTGAGGGGTTAGAAAATTTAGACCAAAATTCTCTCTCTCTCTCTTCTTATTTTGTGCCTTAAAGTCTAGTTTCTCTACTTTTTTGCACATCAATCCTTAACCAAACACTCTCACCTTTGAGCTGAGGTTCTTTGGAGTTTAGTTTGAGCTCTTGAAGGAGGTTTGAGTTGGAATTTGGGGCTGTTTTGTGCTTGAGGTTCAATAGGTAGTTCACTTGCTTAGTGTACTTGCTTTGACTACTTATTTTGCCATCATTTTGTATTGTTTTTGAGCTGGTTTTCGACTAGAAAAAACTCTGTTTTTTGAGGCTTAACATGATGGTTTGAGGTTATTTTGTGTTAAGGGGTGATCCACCTGTCTTGTTGCTTAATTGTGTAGACTTTTGCACAATCTTTTAGCATATTCAATCAAACTTTTTGGGCCTTTTAATCACTGAAAATCAGAGTTATTTCAGTGACAAAAACCTTATTTTGAAGTTCAAAATTAGAGGGGTTAGCCTCCCATTCTTGTGTCTTGTTTGCATGCCTAGATAGCCTAACATGTGAGCATGTTTTTCGAGCATTTTGTAACTTGATCTTAGCATGCTTTTGCTACTGTTTTGACTTGTTTTAGCTCTGTTTTGGGCTGGTTAGGTCCTTTGAGCCTTGTATGGCATGGTTGTAGTGAATTTCCTCCACTAGTTTGTTGTTTCATTGCCTTGATCATCTTTCTTTTAAGTTAATGTCATGAATTAGTGTTGTTTTGTACTCCATTCCAACACTTTACATACCTGCAACCTCTCTCATTTCTTCAATCTTTCATTTATTTTGAGGGATTGGTTTACCTTCGGGTTGTGTTTAAGCTTGAGATCGAGGTTTGTGCTTAATGGTTTCAATCCTCTTTTGAGGGTTTCTACTAATTAACGGCGTGACCTCTCTCCTACCTTAAATCATCCCTTGGTTGACACCTCTTTCATTAGAGGACACTCACTTTCGGACTTAACTGGTTAAAGAATGGATCGGTAAGCTAAAATGAGTAAATAAAAATGAACAAGTAAAAGAGGCAAGACAAAGCATCTTCATGTTGCATTGCATGTGTTCGGATCGGACGTTAATTCGAACATGAGGAAAATAGGACATTTCATACTCAAAGTGATGAAACGTGCCACTTTTCTTGGTCACCATCACCCTTGATCATACACGATAACGTTGTGGCTTTGTTGAGTCTGGTTTTGCACTCATTAAGCTTGTACAAACTTGGTTCCTTAGCCATCATG